ACATGCATTCATGTCGTATCATGTTCGTATCGTGTAATGCTCTTCTGCTCACGCTGGCTTTACCGCAGTACTTTCACAATGAAGTGAAGATTCATCATTTTTTAGTAATTCTCCTTTTGTCTGCCTGAAACGGACGTGCCAAGATGCATATTTGGCCTGAGCAGTCACAAATGCTTATAATTGTTTGATGCACAAGTGGCCTGTGCATGCATTCATTTCGTATCATGTAATGATCTGCTGCTCACACTGGCTTTACCGCAGTGCTTTTGCATTGCAGTGAAGCTTGATCAGATTTTAGTATTTGTCTCTTTATCCGCCTTAAACAGACGTGCCAAGATGCATATTTGGCATGAGCAGTCGCAAATGCTTATGTTTGTTTGATGCACAAGTGGCCTGTGCATGCATTCATTTCGTATCATGTTCGTATTATGTAATGCTGTTCTGCTTACGCTGGCTTTACCGCAGTGATTTCGCAATGCAGTGAAGCTTATTCATCTTTTGGTAATTGTACTTTTGTCTGGCTGAAAAGAATGTGCCAAGATGCATATTTGGCATGAGCAGTCGCAAATGATTATTTTGTTTGATGCACAAGTGGCCTGTACATGCATTCATGTCGTATCATGTTCGTATCGTGTAATGCTCTTCTGCTCACGCTGGCTTTACCGCAGTACTTTCACAATGAAGTGAAGATTCATCATTTTTAGTAATTCTCCTTTTGTCTGCCTGAAACGGACGTGCCAAGATGCATATTTGGCCTGAGCAGTCACAAATGCTTATATTTGTTTGGTGCACAAGTGGCCTGTATATGCATTCATTTCGTATCATGTAATGATCTGCTGCTCACACTGGCTTTACCGCAGTGCTTTTGCATTGCAGTGAAGCTTGATCAGATTTTAGTATTTGTCTCTTTATCCGCCTTAAACAGACGTGCCAAGATGCATATTTGGCATGAGCAGTCGCAAATGCTTATGTTTGTTTGATGCACAAGTGGCCTGTGCATGCATTCATTTCGTATCATGTTCGTATTATGTAATGCTGTTCTGCTTACGCTGGCTTTACCGCAGTGATTTCGCGATGCAGTGAAGCTTAATCATCTTTTGGTAATTGTTCTTTTGTCTCCCTGAAAAGAATGTTCCAAGATGCATATTTGGCATGAGCAGTCGCCAATGATTATATTTGTTTGATGCACAAGTGGCCTGTGCATGCATTCATTTCGTATCATGTTCGTATTATGTAATGCTGTTCTGCTTACGCTGGCTTTACCGCAGTGATTTCGCGATGCAGTGAAGCTTAATCATCTTTTGGTAATTGTTCTTTTGTCTCCCTGAAAAGAATGTGCCAAGATGCATATTTGGCATGAGCAGTCGCAAATGATTATATTTGTTTGATGCACAAGTGGCCTGTGCATGCATTCATTTCGTATCATGTTCGTATTATGTAATGCTGTTCTGCTTACGCTGGCTTTACCGCAGTGATTTCGCGATGCAGTGAAGCTTAATCATCTTTTGGTAATTGTTCTTTTGTCTCCCTGAAAAGAATGTGCCAAGATGCATATTTGGCATGAGCAGTCGCAAATGATTATATTTGTTTGATGCACAAGTGGCCTGTACATGCATTCATTTCGTATCATGTTCGTATTATGTAATGCTGTTCTGCTTACGCTGGCTTTACCGCAGTGATTTCGCGATGCAGTGAAGCTTAATCATCTTTTGGTAATTGTTCTTTTGTCTCCCTGAAAAGAATGTGCCAAGATGCATATTTGGCATGAGCAGTCGCAAATGATTATATTTGTTTGATGCACAAGTGGCCTCTGCATTCATTCATTTCGTATAATGCAATGCTCTTCTGCCAACGTTGGCTTTACCGCAGTCCTTTCACAATGCAGTGAAGCTTCACTATACTTGTTTTATGTGTATTGCGACTTATCGAAGTTTTGTAATAGCTCAACTGTTGACGCTAGAAGTGATGCATTCTATGTGAAAGTTTGATACTTACCTTCGGGGATTCACGTTTTTTATAAAGTTTTCAAAATCTATCTGTAAGGTCGAGTTGGAAACTATGCATTCTTGGAAAACGGCAACGAACACGACGGAGACACGAGCTGAGAAAGACTCAGTACTTCGCCTTTGTCTTGTGCTTCCGTCGTTTTCACGTTGATTTTCAAAGTATCTATCAAAATGCTGACAACGCTGTTTCACTGCCAGCAACCTTTGACGTGCAAGAAAGGGAGCTAAATTTTCTCTCATTCTGTAAACCAAGCACTCGCGGTTACCTAATGTGAGATAAATAAAATACCAAATTTAAGAATGGCCAGCCGATATTGATAACAGGTGCTCATAACAGCACTTTTTTGCTGTGCACTTGAATTCCTGTCTAATGTAAGGTTACCGTCTGTGAATATACAATGATACTACTAAAACCAAGAAAAATTTACTAACATTTATTTGTAAAATAACTGCTACAAAATAAAATTCTGATCCCCGTCTTAGTCGTGCATAATTTAGGTGGAAGAAGACGGCATCATCCAACGTCCTGACGACTTGATAACAGGGTGAGTCCACAATGTACTGGACCTGTACGAGATGAGCAAAACAGACGAAGAAAACAACAGATAAATCAAAGACTATAAAAAATGGCACCTAAAACGTTCAACTTGCCCACCACAGAAGTGAAAAGACTCCTGTTCTCATATGTATTTTCTGCCTGTTGGTCCGCGGGCACAAGTGCCAGTGTGGTTTATTGAAGCTGCTTAGCATCACTTTATTGCAAGACTTTTCTCTATCCGCCACCCGAGAACGCGCTCTGTAGCGGGCAGGCTCCGCCTAGAGACTTGTGGCAGTGTGATGTTAATGTAGGCAATATATACACAGACTTTGGTTGCTTAATTTGTAGCAAACTCATTGTGAGCGAATTTCATAATTGAATTCATAAAATTTTTGAATGTAATATAACGCCAAAATGTTGAGGCTTTAGAACATTACAAACTCAACCTGCCCAAATTAACAATCCCAGTGCCACAGGCATGCAAGAACTGCTTGCATAATCATGAATCAACTAAATCATTTTGAATATTGACAGGTTTTCAAAAATGACTATTTTTAAAAATGTGATATTCATATTTTTCTCCTAAAGGGCAAGTTAGTGTTCCTGAAAAGAAAAAAAAGCAAATCACATACGATATCTGATACTTTTTCTTTGCGGTCTACAGCTGCACATGGTAAAAAGCTGCATGCATGAGTGTTTGTTGTGCGCCATCCGTGATATTATTTCCGAAATTCTTATTCAGTTGACATTTAGCAATCAGCCTATGACTTTTCTTCTGTTTTTTTTTTATTTTTCATTCCTGGCGGTGGATATGAATATATTTTTGTTCAGGAAAATTTGCTGAACGAAGAATAGTTTTTCTATTTTTGGCGAAAAAAAAACAGAACAAAGCAAGAACTAGTTCTAGAACTTTTATGGAAGAGACAGGTTTGGCGTGATGAGAAGTCAATAAAGAAGGAATGCCAGTGAAAGAATTGCCTCAACAAAGGAATTCGGTTCGTCGGGGTAACATACATTTGGCAATGTTTTTATTTACTCGTAGTTAACGCTCCACCACTTACAGCAAGGGAGAAAAATAAGGCGGTGCATGCAGAAAGTTAACTCATCACATAACGCGAAAATTTGACCCAGGACAAGAGAAGGAACAAAGACGAGTGCTCACTTCCAACAAGATTTATCTTGAAGAGCAAACACATATAGGCTCTTGAAATGCAAAAACAGACAAATCATCCGAAAAGCCCACAACTACCATGCACGAAAACCTTACATCCTCAGGAAAGACAATTCGTTTTGACAAATCCTTAGAGAGAGAGTGAGAGAAAGTGCTGATGCAGTTCAGCTGTAGTCTATAAATCCTTTTTCGCCACGACAATTTCTCGTGTAGTTTTTTTTTTCAATGATAATGGTGTCACACAAGAGTAGTTTGGAGCCACACCTGCTGCAGTGCAAGGCCAAAAAACGATTGCGACTGTTCTCGAGGTTACAAGCGTGTTTATTGCAGCACATGTGGCTGCAAACTGCTTTTGCACAACACCATTATAGCTGGAAGAAAAACAACAAATAAATTGACAAGAGAAATTATCGTGGCAAAGAGGATTTGAAGACTAGAGCTGAACTGCGTCAGCACTCTGTCTCTCTGTGGCTTTGTCAAAACGAATTGTCTTTCTTGAGAATATAAGATATTTGCGCATGGTAGTTGTGGGCTTCTTGAATGATATTCCTGATTTTCACATTTCAGAAGTATATATGTGTTCGCTTTTCAAGATAAATTTTCTTGGAAGTGAGCCCTCGTATTTGTTCCTTCTCTTGTCCTGGGTCAAATTTTTGTGCGGTGTGATCAGTTATGCATTACCAACATGCCTAACTTCATACTTTCAATCCCTGAAGTCAGTCCTTAAAGGGCTACTCACCAGGTCCCATAAAAAAATTTAGTTAGACTGTGGAAGTTGTTGTGTGCCTGACGGAGAGAATTATATCACAAAAAGTTTTTCAATCGGTTCGTTACGAGCTAAGCTAAACAGTTTCTTTTTTTTAACAACAGGAAACAAGGATGAAAAGAGGCAAGCTCAAAACCCTTGCCACTCCCCTGTGTAGCCTTCACAAGCCAAATCTCTTTCCTACCCTCTCCAGCATCCAACCTAGAGGTCACGTGCACATGATGTGCTCAAACAAGCCCAACCCTCGAGCGCACGAGCGTTGTTGTTTTGTTGACCAGCATTATTTTGTGTCTACTGCCTGTTTTTGCGAGATTGTTTACAAACGCTGGCTTTGATGCGGTTAAAAAGATGAGCATAATGAGTGCTCGAATGCGCAGGACCATTAATTTCTTTTCCAGGACAGGCGTCTGCTTGATGCATTAACCGTGGGGACACGAACGCATGCGAAACGCCGGCACATTAGCTCCGCATCTCGTTGCAATTCGCGGGGAAAAAATGAAAAAGACAAACACATTCTCCTATTGCATCTCAATATGTATCCCAAGTTTTATTCATCTTTTCAAGCAACAAATTACATTACCTACGCATGTCGCATTAAAAAATTTTCGCCATGTCACGTGCCGCTGTTGGCAGCGTCAGAGCACAGTCGTCTACATAGAGGACCAACGTCACTGCACTGCTGTGTACGTAGGGCGATTCATACGTGCATATCATAACCTCCTTTTCTGGGCGCGCGCCTGCAAAAGAAAGGGGGAAAAGCGTTCGTCTTGAAATTTGACGCATTTCCGCGGCGCATAGCATTGCAAAGTTTGCAAGACGTGACCGTAAACTCCCGGTGTACGCATTGCGCTTGTCAGCTCAAAATAGTCAAACCTGGTGAGTGGCCCTTTAAAAAAAGCAAAAATTAGAGGAAAAGACATGAAGATTGGTTAGAAATTTTGCTGTGTGTCTACACGAAAATGGAATGCTATTATTAATTAGGAGAATGTTTCTTTTCCTTGGCAACCAGCAAACATGATTTAGAACACACAAATACTTTTTTGTCCAAGTTAGCTGCCAAGACAAGCTCCGTGAAGTCCTCTTGAACAACCTGCACAAGTAATGTCCAATACTACCCGACCATACAGCGGTTGCCGGCAGACACAATGTAACTTGTAAATACTATCTCTTGGCTGTACGCGAGCAGCCATGGAGTTTATGAGGGGAAAGCCTTCGATCATACCATTCTGTATGCATTGCAGCAAATCTTTGCGTAGCATAACTTGGTTAAGATTCAAAGTTTCTGGTTTTCTGTCTGATGCTATGTAATACATGTTAGCAATCGCAAACCACAGTCAAGTGTGTTGCACTGGTTTCGCACCTTCATTGTTTGAATGGTTAATTTGGGTGATTGTAATTTTAGAATATGACAGATTTGCCTGACAGCGTCAAGAGGGGTATCTTGATCAATTGAATCATATAGGAGGACTGTGTTTTTGTCGGTACCAACATTTGTTACTGTAAGCCAATGATTAGGGTTCCGAACATGCAAGATTTGAACAAAATGGCCTTTGATTTGAGTGAATTGTAATTGTTGGCCTAGTTTGACATCTTGAAAGCCGACACAAGTAGGATAGTTTTCTGAATTAAATACATTGCGACACTGATTACGCTATCTGATATGGAGGTGCCCTGTACCAGCACATTTAAATCTGCATGTGAAAGAGAATACCGTTTGTAGACATTTAGCATGTCACTTTAACCGTCGCAAGGCCTACTTTTTTTACTTGATTCGGGAAAAATTTTTGCTTGACAGCTCTCACTTTTTTGGCCGCTCCCTTCTTCCTTCAACAAAAGGTACCACAAGTTTTGTACAGTCAGAATGCCCAAGATAACTTGTGGCAGTAGTTTGTGCTAACTGAGCTGGTGCAGCCTTTATGCCTGCTGAAGTTTGGTTACGAGAAAATGTGGTTAAATTTCTGGAGAAAGCCTCGCTGGACGAAAGTTTTTCTATTAACTCCTTCTCACCAAAATTAGATAATACGTTAGCCACGGTTTTGGACATTTCGCAAAGGCTCTTATAAGCATAAGTATACTTCTCTAGTGCAGTGTCAACTTTCACACAGGGTGGTGACTTGGTGACTGAAAAATGCTGCTTGTTACCACTGGTGTGGCACTAGTGGTTGTGCAGCTGTCACTCAGGAAATGATCCTTGCACCACCTGTCCGGTATGCAAGCCTTGTCGAAAAGATCTTGCTTGGTAAAGGCACGCACTGCTGAAATATTTGAGCAAGGCAGAGTGTAATGGTTATAAAAAGCATATGTGCAAGAAGCCAAGCACAATGAAACACTGTACTGTGATCTTGATGAAACTACAACATAAAAATTAGGAGTCGAAGTGACTTGATAACTTCCATTTTTAAACTTCTCATGCTGTTCTAGTACTTTACTTGTAGCCTCAGAAGTACAATTACGGGACACTTCTAGCTGAAATGGGTCATTGAAATCATTTAAATTTACGTTTAGCTTCATTTCTTTAAGCTTAGAGAACTGTAGAGATAAAGAATCATTATCAATGTAACCTACCGATGCTTCTATTGCTTGAACCAAATGCATGCTTGAAGAGAGATAATTTTTAGTTTTTTGATTGTGGCACTCGATGCGATTATTAGTATTATTACCAAATGTAGGAAGGGCTTGCCAATATGCATGTACCCATATTTCCTTACACAAGTGCCAGTATGTAAGAAATGAAATCTGTGCAAGTCATAGCTTGGAGGTCAACAAGCTTATCGAAGTAGTCTTGCTCAGTGGGGGAATAAACTAAGCTTTTTAAGAGAGAAAGCAACTGATCACGTTGCTGTCTAGCTTTTTCATTAACCTTTTGCGGGAAACAATGCAACACATGCCACGTACACAAAAGTATGTTAGAATTAGGAAGAATATTGGTTAAAATGCGCAGTTCATTGAGATCTATATAAATCATCACTACTTTGTAAGCAGACACAACAAATGGGTTGAAATCTACAAACTTTGTGAACATGGGCTCAACAAATTCAGTCGTCTCATTTCGTAAGAAGGCATAACACACAGGTCTCCCACGACCACGACTATACTGAACTAATATAGAGTAAAGAATATAACCCTCAATATTCACTTTATACGTTCCATCAATAAATAGAATCTCTGGATACTTTTCCCAAATCTCACGCATGTGCGTTGTTTGAAGAAGTATGAATTGCAGGTTATTATTTTGATTCATTTCATAGTGAATAACCCAGTTTGGATTATTTTTTAGCAAGGTCTCTACCTTCTCTAAAACCATTTCACCATGAGCCTGCTCATTGCGGATAGGAATAGAAAATCGTTGCTTGTAATTATAATGTCCATTGTAGTTAACTTCTTACCAGTTTCCTGCTCGACCAAGTTTTTAAAATTCTTTGCGCCAATATTACATTTAGCTAAGTCAAAGAATTCTTGTTTTTCTCCATAGTTCAGAAACCTCTTCTGAGGGTACAAATCATAATATTCTGTGGGATGGTTATGCTTAGCTTGTAGTTTAGTTATCTCGTAATGCAGAGTAGGCTATTTACACAGGTTTACAATACTGTCATTTCACAGCCAGTACCATTGTTAGCTTGCTTTGGTCGCTTTCCTATCCCCTTGGCTTTATTGTGCGACCGTGAATGCAGCTATATTTAATCCTAATGTACTGGAAGTCCTTATCCTCTGATGTGAATGGACTTTTATTACTCTTATTTATCATGACTACATGCCTGCCCTCCCTGCACCACTCATGAAAGCTTTGCTTAAAGGAAGGAAAGTTATCAAATGTCGCATTTAAATAAACTTTGCTACCCCCCCCCCCCATGTAGTGCATTTACTTGGTTATTGGGGACAGTTGGGTTGGCACCAGTGTTTACACAAATAGCCTGGGCACCAGGGCTGGCAGGCCTGCTTCTGGATGTCAAAGCAGCCTCACAATACTTGTACTGCACAGCTGAAGTGTACCCAGCTTCCATAGGGTCACCAGCCTCTGTGCCAGGATCACGCTCAATTCGCATGCAATCCCGAGTCAGTGCTGGTAGATGGCTTTTGCAGACAGAAACCTCCTTCACAGCGTCATTCGTGACAGATTCACAAAGTGTCGCGGAACTAACTGAGCAGTCTTTCAACTGCTTGCTAGTAACACGCTGCACCTTTTTAAAACAATCACGAATGACGTTGTGCGAGACACTGGCTCGTCCTTCAGGCTTTCTACCACAGACAGCGGAAGAAGCAGACTGAATCTGTTTCTGGCTCACAACTGCTGTCATAGGTGAAGTGAACCTTATGGACTTGGCAGCTGTCACAGCAAGAACTTTGCCTTTACTGTCTGCACACAGTTTAGAGCTCTGTTTTTGCTTGTGCAGTGTCGCAGCCTTCCGCCGGCTCTTCTTTGATTGCACCAGTTTCTCCTCACTGTCGCCACACTGGCCGACAGCCTGTGGCAAAGCTGCTTTTCCAGCACTGGCCTCCTCTTCCCCCCACAAGAGCACACAAGAGCACTCTCATGCTCCTGTAAGGCTCTCCTTATTTTCCTGTCACAAGTGGTGCTTGCACCTCGACTAGGGATCATTGGCTGAACAGGCCACTCCTCAGTGTTTCCCTTGCATGGTACACTTGCATGGTACACTTGTGCCATGGAAAATGGGGGAAGGCAGGCTGTCCCAGGTCCACCAAGCCTTGCTTCCCTTGCAGCGAACGCGGACACCGCCAACGAGCGTAAAGCCAATGCCATGAATGGTACTGGCCAGTTGGTCAGTGTCGTGTCTCTACATGAGAGCACTGCTGGTTTTCCAGACAGGAGCTGGTGCAGTGGAAGGTCCACCTACCGTAGGAGAATATTGAAGTGCATGTATACCAAGTGCAGGAAAATCGGCTTCCAAGTTGATGGCAAAGCGTTCATGCCGAGCCCATCCACTCCATGCAGATGCCTTGGACTCCTTGTAGGACTGCTAGATGCGTCTCCTCTCTAGATGCGTGGACAAGGCACAGGCCTCCCGGTGCAGGAAGTCTGCCAGCACCTTGTTGCCAAGCCGGCTGGGGTGGATACCATCCCTGCTCAAGAATTCAGGCCAGCTGTCCACAAGACTATCCAGAAAAGTGAAGTGCCTCTCCAGGCAAAGATGTGCGAGTGCGGCATTCACATTCCTGTAGTGGTCATTCAAATGACAAACATCCGACAACTGTTATTCCCCTTCGCGGTACCGATTCTGCCCCCGAGGAAGAACGGCAGAAAAAGCTACATGCAACGTGGGATTGCTTTCGATGATTCCCTGAGCGAGCTGGCGATATTTTTCCATGCACATGTTGACACTGTCAACAGTGTTTTGTTCGTACCAACATGTACAATGACAACAACAAAACTGGCCAGCTTGTCCGCAATCATTGAGAGCAAGCGCTCAATCATTGTTCCTCTGTGTGCGGCAACGCTAACAGAGAAGCCACGGCGCGATGGGAAACACTGGTCCACGTATTTCACCATCTAATCGCCAGCGACCAACAAACGCGTCATGTTGCACAAACTTTCAATTCAGAATTACACCATGAAAAAAAAAGAGACAAGAGAGTGAATATTTAATCTTAAACATGGCTGTGAATTATGCAAACGAAGAATGAATTATGCAAATATACGAAGCACGTTAACATGGATGACCAAAGAAAGGGCCGCGTACAAATACTGCTAAATCAGCCTATACGCGAAAAATCACAAAAATACGTATTGGGGCGGATATAAACAACGTTAGTAAATATAGAATAGCAGCGAAAATGAGCGGTTGAGCTTAGAGGAAGACGATGTTCGAGGCTTGCGAATGTGTAGCAGAACAAGGCCTGTAGACAGTTTGCAGAAGCAGCAACCAGCCGTACTCCAGCAACAGCAGCAGCAAGTGAGCGTCTGCCGAGCAGCTGAGTCACGTGCCGATTCGGTAAATTCAAACAACGCGCTAAATCGGAAACGACGTATTTCGTGACAATTATTGTGACGTCACTTCCGCGCGGCACGGGAGCCACTTCTGTGTGGCTCCTGTGCTGCACTTCTGTGCTGCCACTGCCACAGAAATGTTTTTGGCAGCAGTCACTGCCAAAAAACATTTCATTGCTTCGAGATACGTAATACATGGGCTTCTATGAACGTTCGACGGGGATCCGGAAACATTTCGTTGCCGCGGGGATTTCGTACTCGCGGGGTTTCGTTATTGCGGGTTTCAACTGTATTTGGTTATTCCTGAGCCCCACTGTTACCCTGAAATCTGGCTAGAAATGTTTGTATTTTTCTATTCCAGATTTCGCATTTTTGCTGCATGTGTGAAGTCATCTATACAAATAAACTCAGTGCTGCTTTTATTACTTTATTACAATTGTGTCTACCACCTATAAAAACCACAGCAAAACATCAAGCTAAAGCCAACTTGTGTATGGCAGTAGAATAAAAAAACTGCTGCGCACGAGTTGAACTTGTCCACGATTCTCTAGGGCTGGGCACAGAATGATCCAGACATGGAACAGTCTAATGCACTAAAAAGTGCATTCTTGTGTCGTATGATGGTTGTATGTCATGAGCTTTCATACAACCAGCTCAGTCAAAGTGGACAGAAAATCACCGTTGTCATTTCCCTGAAATAAATGGCGATATTTCGCCCACTTTGACTCATTTATATTTACATTATTAATAGACTACAGTTAACAACAACAGTATTGGGCCCACACTTTTACTAGCCTATTCATCTGTTAAATTTATTAGGTTGTGTTTTACAACAAAATGAGCCCCCCACCAAAAAAATTCGCCTTTCTTTCGATCAAGCTGTCATGCAAATGACTTGCTTCTACTTCATACGAGGACACACCAGAGAAGGCACTCCTGCGAGCCCGTTCAGCACAGTTTGCTGCACTACAGTCATCGTCAAGAAAGACCATAAAAAATTTGCAACAATCGAGGCGGCGACTTCAAAAAAAAAATGTAGTGATGAAATCGGTTCTACACTCACTGATCAAAGATAACATCCTCCTGAAGGAACAACAAGTAGACACTCTCAACAGTCTTGGATCTGCCAACAGGCACCTTCTTGAGAGACAAATTGCAAAGTGCACAGGGGCCACCGCAGCAAAGCAATATTCTCCTGAGCTAAGGTCATTTGCTCTCACATTGAACTTTTATTCCCCTCGTCCATACACCTATGTGAGAAAGGTTTTTTTTTATACGTGCCTACCGCACCCAAGAACCATAAGAAAATGGCATCAGACTGTTGATGGTAACCCTGGATTTTCAACCGAGGCCTTTCGTGCACTGCAAATGAAGTGCAATGAAACACAATCAAGAGGCCAGCAGACAGTGTGCACTCTAATTTTTGATGAGATGTCAATCAGGCAACAAATACAATGGGGCACTGGTAAATTTGAAGGCTTTGTCGATATTGGCACTGCGGACGATAGTGACTCAATGCCAGAAGCAAAGGCAGCTTTTGTTGTAATGGCAGTGAGTATGAATGGCAGGTGGAAGCTACTTTTAGGGTATATTTTAGTGGATGACATTGCTGGAGAACAGCGAGCGAATCTTGTCAAGCAATGCCTGCTACTTATGCATGATGCCGGGGCTATAGTTGGAGCCGTTATATGCGATGGAGCAGCTGCTAATATTGCAATGCTGCACAAATTTGGCGGCGACCTTAGCAATCTCAACAATTTAAGAACAATTTTTCCACGCCCAGCCACACATCAGCCAGTAGAAGCCTTCTTAGACCCATGCCATATGCTAAAGCTTGTACGAAATGCCTTAGCTCATAAAGGGTCTTTTGTTGATCGATGTGGCAGAATCATGGCATGGAGACACATAGAAAAACTACACGCTTTGACACAAAAAGAGAACCTGCACCTAGCCAACAGGCTGCGCAAGGCACACATTGAATGGAAAAGGCAGACAATGAAAGGCTTGCTGCCCAAGTGCTAAGCATTTCTGTGCCAAGTGCTCTAGCAGAGTGCAGGGCAGGAACTGAGAAGTTCCTCCAAATCATTAACAACACCTTTTATGTCTTAAACTCAAGAAGCATTTATCAAAAAGGCTGGGAAAAACCTATAAATGAGAAAAATGCGAAACAAATTGAAGAACTTTTCAAAGTGACAGCACAGTACTTGTGTTCTTTAAGGGAGTCACCAAATGGAAGAAA